AAACCATAAAATTATTTTCGTTGCTACTTCATAACTGTAATGTTGCTATTGTTATGAATCATAATGTAAATATGTGATATGCAGGATGGTCCTAGGCGACCCCTGTGAAAGGGTCGTTCGACTGCCAAAGGGGTCAGGACCCACAGGTTGAGAACCGCTGCCTTAGAGATACTGCATGAAGCACCTCACCAGTGATCATTTTCATGGCATCACCTAAGAACTGTGTTGTCCTGTAGAGTAATTACTTGTCACATGTGGCTACTTAAATGTAAACTAATTAAAAATTCAGTTCCTCAGCCCGGCTGGTGTGGCTCAGTAGTTGAGCATTGACCTATGAACCAGGAGGTCACGATTCCATTCCTGGTCAGGGCACATAGCATGCAGGAGGCACCCAATCAACGACTCTCTCTCAGCATTGATGTTTCTATCTCTCTCTCCCTCTCCCTTCCTCTCTGAAATCAATAAAAATATATATTTTTTAAAAATTCAGTTCTTCAATTGCACTGTTCACATTTCAGGTGCTCAATAGCCATATGGCTATTGAATTGGACAGTGTAGCTATAGAACATTCCCAGAATTGCAGAAAGTTCTACTGAACAGCACTGACCGCGAGTCTTAGGTTTTAAGGGACCTCAGAAAGGGCAACCAACTAACCTGGTTTTCCCAGGATTGAGGATTTCTTGGGTTTGAGGACTTTCAGTGTTAAAACTGGGAATAGTCCCTGGAAAAAGAAGACAATTGGTCATCCTAAGAGATCATCTAATCTAACCACATCTAATGCAGATATTCCTTCTATAACATTCTTGACATTAGGCATATCTGAGCTTGCTAGTTCAGTGATGTTTTATAGTAACATCATGATGTGGCAGAAGCAGGCAGAATTTGGAGAACTGTAGTAGGAGATTGAGCTAAAACAATAAATGAGAACTCAGTTTTTCATTTTCTTCAGGTGGTAGAAAGCTCGTAGGCACAAGAGAGATTGTTTAAGCAACCACAACAAAATACTTGCACCCACCGAAAGGAAGCACACTTCATAAGTAGCCTGTAAAATTAGTAATAAGTCTAGCATCAAAGTCACATGTGTGTTAATAATCGCTGGAATATTTATTAGTAAATCAGGGTCCAATGTCATATTAACAGGCAGAGCTCTGTTGAATTACTTTTTCCCAAAAGAAATATATATTTTGAAGTTACTGAAATTAGAACTGAAAGAAGCCTTAGAGATCTCCCAGTGCAACTCCAATTTTGCAGAAGAGGAACCTGAAGCCCAAAGTACATACCCTTTCCAAGATTGCACAGTGAGGGAAAACGCCTGTATCACTTTTCAAGAAGCAAGGTCAAAAGCACAGACCAGTCTCAATTCCTGCAAAGGAAACGAATGGCGCTTTGACTGAGTGTCACTTTTATTACTCCTCCATGATTTTTGTTTAGTGTTGTTAAAAGTATTTTATATTTGAAATAAATTCCTATTGAGAATATTAATAGCAAGCACAATACTAGTAAATATTGTTTAAAGAGCATTCAGAATTGATAGCATGTTGGCTAGGAAGATGGTTTAATGTTATCAGATGGCAGAAGGAAGGTACAAATATTCCAATCTTATTTTGCTCTGTCTTCTTTTCACTTAAAGGATAGGGTATAACAACACTGTAAGGGAAAACTGAAGCCCAAGTTAGACAAGGAAATGGGAGGAGAAATCTAGGACTCCTTAAATATGATGAAAACCAAGACCTCAAACAGAGACAGGCCTGTAGATTCAAAGCTGGGTCCACACAGCAAGGCCATCTATAAAATGGGGATAAAACAGAAACTATTCCATAAGGTTAGACGATATATATATATATATATATAGCTTAGAACAATGCCTGATCTGCTTAAAGCTCAATAAATGCTATTAATTATTCTAATTATTATCAGTAAATTTTGAAAATTATTTCAAGCCTCCAGATCCAGAT